AACAAATTTAAAAAAAAGTAAACAGTAATTGTGATTATTTTATGCTTGCTTAGTGACCTGAGCTGTTTGCATCACATTGTTTCTGACAACGTGGTAGTCTAGAAGGAGAACAGAGGCACTTCTCCACATTTATATAGATGGCTTTATGCTCACCGTGGCTGACGCGTGTCATAGATGGTGTCGCCCGGTGAAAGTTTGGCTTTTAACCAAGCTGTGTTTACATATAATAGCATATCCTCAAATAATTGGTAGGTCTCCTTGCTAAAGAGCGACATGTCAGGTTTGGCATTAGTGTGAAAGAAGCTCCCTAACTCACTTCACCTGATCCGTGGCCTGTAAAGATGCATCTGGCATTAGACAGACAGGGCAGGAGCATCAACTGAACAATGGAGGACTGTCAGGACCGACAGCAGGGCACGGCTCTACCATCACTGCTCTGACAGGGAGGGCCTCCGAGGGTAAACTGCTTTGCTGGAACTAATTAAACAGATGAAGTTATGACATGAATATGCAGATGTTGTTTACATTTTACCATATGGTATTATTTCAGGTAATAACGCACAGGAGAACCTTCCCACTCATTAATGTGAAGGGATGGAGTGAAAACACTGTCTATCAAGAGACACTCGGAGCGTGTTCGAGAAATATGATCAGACTGACACTTGGGCATTGAAATCTATTTCAAGCCATTCAATTAACATACATGTTGATAGCTATTATGGTTTGATTTAGATTGTTAGCATGCTGGTTGTTCCTTATTGAAAGGAGAATTTATCAAGTTTCCTCAAATAAATGTGTCCACTTTCCTTTAATTTGAAGTGGAAAATGATCACAACATTGACGGTGTCTTGTTACCCAGCGTGACAATATTTTACTAGAACTAATTCAAAGAGTCTAAGTGACACTTAAATTCAATAGAGTCACTTATGCAGTTAAATAATTTTTCAAAGTTGCAGTCTAAAGATTTATATACTGGGATGTTTGGCTCTATACACCTGCCATAAATGCAGTTTAATTCATAATGCATAACCAGATTTTTTTTTCCTGCAAAAAGTAGTTGAACTCGGACAGTTCTTCTCTTTCCTCAGTTTTGTGTGCAGCCTCACCATTCCCCCGGAGCGGGTGCTGAGAGGTTAAGAGGGAAAGGGCCGATGGAGTCGCATTTAGTAAGAAGTGTGGGATCACGGGGGCCAGCTGGCGGGGTGATGGGGAGCATAATTGTGCCCGCTGTGTGGATAGGGTGGGGGGTAAAAGGATGGGGTGAGAAGCCCTGGAAAAACGGGAGGGGAGGGGACACCTCAATTACCTGTGCTCCCTCTGACCCCTCTCTCCCTCTGTCTCTCCAACGAGACTCACTGTCTGAGAGGCGGGGCACATTTCCACAGGCAGATGCACATCCCCCTCCTTTGTTCAAGACAGCATTTGTTCCTTTTCCTGCGCTGCAGATACTTAATTGCAACAATATCTTCTTTATTGCATTTCTCCTTTATTTGTCACTGTCAAAAAAAAATTTGAATTTTCTCCTTTTAAAAAAATCAAAGCATTTTTCTGTTTTGTATTTATGTTTGATCACAGAACTTGGTCAGGTGACATTAGATTAAAGATGTACAACAAAATAAAAAGCAAATTTACCTGAAATGAGCAGTTCTCTCAAACATATTCAGCAGGTTACATGCAGCTGTCACACTTTATTCTGGCACTCCTCCTTGGGCTAATACAGTAAGTGACAGAGACCGGTGTAAATTCAATACTTCACAGGAGTTTGATGTCTTAATCAACTCTGTGTTGTTCAGACAGAAAAGCTAGATGTGTACGAGAAGGACTACAGCGCAGGCCATTGTGAAGCTGTCAAGTCTAGCCCTCAAAAGCAGATGAAGCTGTCAGATTATTAATATATTTATACTGACAGGCCCCAAGTCCACCCCTAAAACCCTCCCCTCTTTCAACATCTCTCAAAAAATATGCTCAGCTTCAAAGACAGGGGCCATGGGGTTGGATGCAAGGTCAAAGGTCAAATACATTTTGAAAGCAAATTCTCTTCCTTTTGCAACCTGTTTTTATTGCTGTCGCTCCTCTTCTCTGTGGCGACCATTCAGCTGAAACTTAGGCTGAATTGGCAGCAGCTTTCAAAGCGCTTGGCAGCCTGGTGATCCTCAGGAGCTCTCAGCTGACATCTCTCTGGGCCTGTCTATGCTCAGGGGTCAGCGCAAGCCCTGACTCCCAGGACCCACTCACTCAGGCGCTACCATGAGTCAGTCCCGCAGACTGAAATTAAAATGTGAAAAGCTGTGCGAGTGAAGGCATTCCTCGCCCCCTGTGGCATTTTCCTTTCTCTGTGACAGTTCCTCTGAGACTGCTTTTTCTTTCATGTTTCTTTTTTCCCTTTAGATTATTTAACAACATGCGAACAGAGCTGTCAAGGAAAGACATGCTTGATCGACAGAGCAAGGGAGTGTCTCAGTCAACATGGGGTTAAATTCGATTTTCTGCATGTTCAGTACGCTAGTCTCAAGCCAGTTATTGCCTTGGCTTGATGTTTTTTGATGGATCAATTATCCATTATAACACACACATAACGGCAACCACAACACCTGTCACAATCTTCTATTAGGGTAAGGAAATTGAAATAATTTAATGACAGCTAATTTAGTCTTTGTTTTGAATCTCATTAAGGCTGCAGTAATTGTTTTCTAAAAAAAAAGAAAAGAAACTAAGAGTGAAATACGACTGCGCGCGCAAAGTAAAGTAACCCCAATTGGAGCTATTAATTTTATATCTCTCAGTGCAAACGGAAGTGAATAAATTGCGCTTTATCAGATTTAGACAAACACAAGTTTGAAAAGGAATCTCAAAGATTTTTTTCCCACTTTAATGCCCAGTTTAGATTAAGTTAAAGTCAAAGATAACACTGTAGAAAATAGAAAAGGCCAAAAAAAAAAAACGATTGAAGACTAAAATATTGATATTAAACGCTCACCAAGAACTGCTGTTAGTGAACAGTGATTTAAGATTCATGTAAAAATGGAGTGAATACATATATTATCTTTTCTTTCAATAAAAAGTATGACAGCATGATTCAAACACAGTATGAAATCATAATGAAAATTTAAAATGATCACTGCATCATATTTTGGCATCATGTCACCTGTTAAGTCAAAGATGCTGCTTCAGATTGTGACAAAAGTGCAGAGAGCTGAATAGATGAAGTATACTGATCAACATGTATGTGAGAAAGCTGCGTGGGAGCGTCTTATCGCTACATGTGTGCATATACTTGAATTTGCAAGTAAAGAGCCTTATTGGGATTACCCACGGTACATTCTAGTTGGTATCATAAAGAGAAAGAGGGAATAGATGTGTCTTTCCTTTTTCTCAGGGATTTGGTAAGCTCTGTGTCAATGGTTTGGAGTTGAATTGCCTTGGATAGCTCCCCTCCATTCCATGGAATGATCTCAGACCTAATTTACTGGGCAGCTCAGGATCCAAAGCATACAAGGCTCTTCTCTGCATAGAATGCGTGAAATAGATAGAGCAGCCATCCCTCAGATGTGCTGAAGTAATCTTCAGCCAGAGCTGGTCCAGCAGGCCTCACCCCTAAAGGGATTGATGCAGTGTCAGAACCTTTGGCTCAGGGGTCATCCTCTCTTCTTGCCTCCACAATCTGACAAAAGCGGAATTTCTTTCCCTCACTATTCGTTTCTCTTTTTTCTTCTATTGAATTCATCAGTAAGGGAGGCATGAGATGTGAGATGTGAATGAAACATTTTCATTAGAAGGGAGGAGAATCCCCGGTCAGAGACAAGGCCGGAGCTGATCTGAGCCAATGACATCCCCACCAATTCTCTTTTTTTCCCCCCTTCTTACTTTCCTCAGCTGTCACTCTCTTCGGTATGTGGCAAGCTGATTGGAATCAGCACCGTGTCAGGGCTGTCATATCTCAGAGAGACATAAAACATGCAGAAACATCAATAAGCAACAGGACGCTGACAGCTCTCAGGCACTGATGCCGGCGAGGAGAGATGAGGGGAAGGTTAGGACTCCTGGGGGATGCTGTGCAGTTGAAGCGTCTTCTTCAGGCTTCACTGAGACCCAGGGAAGACAAGATAAAGTCTATCAGGTTATCGCCTAGTTCAAGTTGCTTCTCGGACAGCAAGGCCACTGGGACACCAGATGTCAGAAGATCTTTGCATGTGTGCGCGAGCTTATGTGTGTGTGTACAGTAAGCGTGTGTTTCTGTGGGTCTGCTTATGCAGGTGGGGAAAGAACTGAGAAAGGCATTTCACTTGTTACTGACTGCAAACCTAGCTTAACTTTCAAACTGCCAGATCGAAATACACAGAAGGTCATTTTTCACTGCACTAAAGACACTGTGTCACCCACTAAATGCAATTTAAGTGATGTGTTTCAGCTGTCAGGTGAATATTTTTAATCTTTTTTTTTTTTTTTGGTTCTTATATTATTAAAATGCATGACATTTTTCTCACTATAGTGTTGCAAATCAGCTTTTTTCATGACACATTTCCTGAGAAATGAGATTGGTAACACACTAGTTATACCCAGTAGTGATGGCCAAGAGATACTTTGGGATTTTCAGTGTGTATTTAATTCACTAATGGGAGGTAAAGGTGATAGTCTGTTAGATCACAGCCTGACACTACCTCTTACCACTGCTAATTAGGCACGTTTTTAGTCCAGAAAAACTGCTGAATCTATTGTTTCTCACACCCATTAATGGTCATCTCAGTGCCCTAACCTACCTGTTTAGAATTATGATACAGTCCAAATAATCAGCTTTACAGAAACCTTTTTTTGACAGGAGAAACTCACCAGTAATTAGCACGACACAGGAGTCGATGAAGGGAGCAGAGTTTTGGCTGGAGTTGAAGTTTCCCCAAAGTTGAAGCCTATTAATTTTGTGTCAGTGGGTTAACATTGTGGGTAAGCGCACATCTGCATATCAAATGTGACACCCATTATTTTATGTTACTTTCTGCTAACAGCGCCTCCCAGCACTCTTCCATGTTCTCCTCCATCTGCCTCCTGTCCATTGATCAGCCTTCCAGGGCATCAGTCTGTTTAACATCTGCTACAAGTTCCAGCAGCTCAGGTAACTATCTAGCTGCTACGCACCGCCTATTGATCTTCATGTCCACCTACAGGAACATCTGTTTCTGCATGTCATTTGTCAGCGCAATCAGCTACCTTGTTTTGCTTCACGTCCGCTTTCACTCGCTCTCACAAGGAGATTTTACTCCTAAATATCTGTTAAGTTGCTATTTGCGTTGTTCTAAAAAGGAATAGTAAATTAGTCACTCATAGTTATTATTCATCTGTATATTAAGATTCACAGTATTTCACAGTAAAAATACTACTAAATATAATTGCATTTAAATTGTATTTTCAAAGAAAAAAAATTCAATTACTGATTACCAAAATTCAAAATGAACATCTGGAAAAGCTGCTTTATTTACTGAAACTGTGAAATGTTGTTACTGCACTCAAAACATTTTCATACACAGTAAACATATTATTTTATTCTGTACCATATATCAGAAACCAAGCCACATAACTAAATGTTTTACTGAAATTGAATAATGCTTTTTTTTTTCTTTTACTAAAATCAAGCAAATGTGGGGCAAAATGTAAATGTAAAAATAGTAGTTGTTCATTGTTTTACACTAAAAGAAAACAGAAAGAAGCACATTGTATTTATTGTTTTTGGCAGAAAGCATGAGAGAGAGATTTATGGGCCGAGAAGAGCTCGCATCTTTGAGTTTGTCTCCTTCGCAGCTTGGAGGAACTGTTGTTGCACAGTTTAATTTGCTCTTTTGTAATGATGGGGCATAGGTTAGTTAATTTCAATTTTTGATTTCAAAAGCTATCAAATACAGCTCAGATGAGAAATCAATTTTCCCAGCTGCCCCGGCTTTGTGGTGAAAAGAACTCCTGCCATTGGTGAACACCCCGTCACATGACGGAGTCAGGGATTAGTTCAGTAGGCCCATGTCGCCACCACCTCAATTACAGGCTGCCTCTTGCCATTTACCTCTGTAACATCTCATCCTCACACACAACTCATATTTAATTCATGAAAGCATACACAAGAGTAACTGTAATAAAATGCAGATTGTTATAGAAAATTTGACCAAATTTAGATTGAAACTTTTTGCTTTAGATGCCAGCAGTGGTGATTGTGTCACGCGTTCTAATTTGGAATAAACAAAAACATAAAATTGTGAATGTCTAAATCAGGACTGAGAAGAAAAAAAAGATCCTAAAAAGTCTATAATTTTAAAAGTATGTAGCTTCATCAATCCACAAGATGCAGATATTTTTTTGACAATGATACACTGTTAAAAATGGCAATGATTTTAATTGGAAAGGTAGTATCCTGTGCCATGTTGGAGACAATGCCAATCATCACCACCATTTTGGGGACTGTCATGTGATCAGCCATCTGAAGAAATGACACTGACCTTAAGTACTCCCCTAAACGAAGCCTTTTTATTTTAGTTTGAATCTAGACTGTGAATAAGTCTATGTTGTAATTAAAGTTATACTGTATATCAGTAGTCTATAACCTACTGCTTACCAGTAGTGCAGCTGTTGTGTGTAGAGGCCTGTTTGTTCAAGACTTTGCAGTATACGAACAGATACGTGTGCTAATAATATAGTACATAAGTCTAATTGTTGACACCACCCAAAGCTCTAAGCTTTTCGGACTGCGTGTGTGAGCATTTTTTACATTCTCAAAGCTTTGGTTCTGGAAATTTAAAGTTTTCTTTCGCTTAAACGAATCCCGTTTTCCTTTGCACAGCACAAATTGACAATTTGTTCAGCAATCAAAGACTCTCCCTTTTATATGGATCGGTTCGTCCGACACAAAGTAGAGAGGAGGCAATTTCTGGACATATCATGAGATTATATCCATTTGACAGTTGTGTTATTCTGTGGTTTCCATGACAACTGTTTGGGTGAGGCCTCCAATAAAACCAACCTCAGCTGTCATCTCTTCACCTAAAAGCTTTGTAATTGCTCTCATTTGCATACTACAATTAAGTGTGTTAGCTCACAGCAAGAACAATCAACCTCCACTAAAGACTGGGGATAGTATAATTATTATATCAGTGGATTTGTATAAAACATTACTGACGAGCCTTTGTTTCACGTCGCCATTGTGCTGTCAGGCTAGTTTTACCACTTATTTTCATAAATATACATATTTCACAGACAGTGATGAGTAATGCATAGGTTCTGGTTAAATTGTTGTCATTACCATTTTCAGTTTCTATATGATCACATAACTGTGGCTCTACATAGTTTTTCCCCCCAGAAATGATCATTTAGGTTTCTGAATGTCAGTCAATATAGTGAAAGATATTTTTATCCATTTTTGATAGGGGGCTTTTTGACTCGGTGGTGCACTTGACTAGCTAGAGACAGAATGATTTGCAATAGTGGGAGACAGTTTGAACTGCTGGTTGAATGGAAAGGTTATGTGCACTGGGCTCGAAGCATTGTTTCTCTTTCCC